GCTCAGTGGGTTAAGCCTCTGCCTTCGGCTCAGGTCATGATCTCAGGGTCCTGGGATCGAATCCCGCATCGGGCTCTCTGCTCAGCAGGGAGTCCGTTCTTCCCCTCTCTCTCTCTGCCTGCCTCTCTGCCTACTTGTGATCTCCCTGTCAAATAAATAAATAAAATCTTAAAAAAAAAAAAAGTTAAAGTAAAAGTTAATGAACTAGACAACATAAAAATCAGTAGAACTGCTCAATCCAAGATCCAGCTCCTTGTAAAGATCGGAGGTAGCTAGACTTGTAAGAGCCCAACAAAGGGAGGGAGCAGGAACTGCACGAGAGAGAGAATACAAAAAAATTAGATAAAAATTAGAAAAGTAGGGCGCCTGGGTGGCTCAGTGGGTTAAGCCTCTGCCTTCGGCTCAGGTCCTGATCCCAGGGTCCTGGGATCGAGCCCTGCATCGGGTTCTCTGCTCAGTGGGGAGCCTGCTTCACCCCTCTCTTTACCTGCCTCTTTGCTTACTTGTGATCTCTCTCTCTCTGTCAAAAAAATAAATTTTAAAAAATCTAAAAAAAAAAAAATAAATAAATAAAAATAAAAATAAAAATTAGAAAAGTAAAGGAAACTTAACCAGAGAGGAGTTTTCAAATTACAAGAGAATACTAATTACACATAGTACGCTAGTTTATCTAGAATGTTCAATGGGGAAATGCATGTGTATTTGTCTGCTCGGGCTATGTAACAAAATACCAAAGACTAGGTGGATTAAACTACAAAAGTTCATTTTCTCACCATCCTAGAGGCTGGAAGTGCTGGCAGGGCCGGTTTCTGGTGGACCTCTCCTCCTGGCTTGCAGATTGTCCTTTTCTCGCTGTGTCCTCACATGGCCTCTCCTCCGTGTCCCTGTGGAGAGATATCTCTGGGGCCTCATTCTCTTATTATAAGGACACCAGTCCTACTGGATGAGGGCCCCACCTTGTGATTTCATTTAACTTCCCTAAAGGCCCCTCCAAATATCATTCCATTGAAGTTAGGGCTTCCACATATGAATTTAGAGGGGGTGGGGGTTACACAATTCTGGCCGTAACAGCATGATTTTCTAGATAAATGACAATTGCCAAGATAAGTAGAAAACCATGGAACCAAATTGAACATGGACAAAGAACTATGTCCCAAAAAGGTGAGTCAGAGTTTAGCAGACAAGTTCTTTCAAACTTTCCAAGAATGTTCCTACGCTGTTTAACTACCCAGAAAGCAGAAAAAGATGCGTCCCAACTCATGTTACAAATCCAGCGCAGCCATGGCACATAATACCGACAGACAAAACCAAAACTTCACTTTTTCAAAATTAAGTCTTCAACTCAAAGAAGCTAGCAGGAGCCCAGTGGGCTGAGACCCGGGCAGACTTGATCAAGGAGCAGCCCACAGAGGGTGGCGTGGGGGAAGCCCAGGTCTGAGCTCAAGTGTTCTGGGGGTTTTCCCAGGCTATCCACACCTGTCTGCTGGACGTGAAGAGAGACACTGGGAGCCAGAAATAGAGTGGCCTGCCCACCCCAGTGCCACATACACACATGAGTTTGGCATATGTGGGATATCCCCCGTCTTGGAGGAGGTGCCAGATCAGAGGACACAGAGGTCACAATGACTGCTAAGGGGTATGAGGAGGTCGTCAGCTTGGCTCAGTGTAAGAAATCTACAGCCGAACTCTGTAGGGAGTAGAGAGCTCCCTGTCATCATATGACCACCCTCCAGGTATGTTCCAGAAGGGATGCCAGCCCTGAGAGAAGCCAGTCTTGAGGTCAGGTATCTCTCTAACAAGTTTGTGACTCTAATCTTTTAGTGGCTCTATCCCACTCCTTAATGACAACTGCTAAGTTAGCTGGCCAAGATATACAATTGTTCGTTTTTAGAAACATTGTTGCCGCACGCTCTGAGACCTTCTCCATGCCTGCATTACCATCTGTCAGCTGCATGTCTCAAGATGCTAAGTGTGGGAGGGGAAGGAGCAGAATCTGACCTCACTTGCTTTACTGGTCAGGTAAGTGCAGACAGGCCTGGAAAGTGCCAGTTAGATAGGTGTTTCTGCATCCCTCACTCCTCTTGAGTTGCCATAGTGAGCGACCTGTCAGGTCCCAGGCTCAAGAGCAGAAGCTGGGAGAAGGCTGCAGGCTTGAGGACCATTCACGACATCCATTAGAAGCATTAGAAGCCCGGCCTTCCCTCTCTCCATAATGGACTAAATATTGGCCTGCCACACTAATGGGCGGTTGGCCACAAAGAAGCTGTAAGAGCTAAAGCCCTGTTCCTTATTATGTGGATTTCAATGACTGGTGAAGTGCTTTTATCATCTCCATTTGCACACTTACACATGCCTGAATTACTCGGTGCCTGGGTCAGCCCTGGTCATGAGCATGAAAAAGGCTATAGGACTAGGAACTGAAAAATCACTGTCCGCATCACCCATACACACTGTGCCAGGCTTTGGGGTTATGGAAAAGCAGATTCCAAATCACCTGTTAACTCCTAGCAGGGTCAATGTCATACCTCATCCAATACTGGGATGCAGACTTGGAGAAAATAGGCACTCCATCCCATAAATTGTATGGAAGTTACAATTTACCAAGAACACTTTCCCAGCAAAGTATATCAGGATTTATCCCTGGGGGGATGGGGAATAGGGGGTAGAGGGAGCATGACTCTATGAGTCCCTCATTCCTCACAGCAACAGGTTGGTTGGAGACATTAGAAGGCCCACCACCCTAGAGTAGTAGGCTCCTGCTAGAAGTCAAGAAGCCCCCAGTGAGCACTGACCAAGTTGTTTAATCTCCCCAGTCTAAGCTAGGACTTTGGGTTTTCTTTCTTTGATGGAGGGGGGAGTATGTTCTGTATGTGTGGAGAAAAAGAAAACAAACACTGGTGACAAGGAGAGAAAGGACATTCTTAGGACCTTCTTTTTTTTTAAGATTTTGAGTAATCTGTACACCCAATGTGGGACTTAAACCTACAACCCCGAGATCAAGAGTCCCACATTCCACCAACTGAGCCAGCCAGGTACCCCTTTTTGGACTCTGGACAAAGTTCCTATTCTCCTCTTTGTGACTATGCAATAGGACTGTGCCTCTTTGACCCTGCACCTTAGGCGTGGCCCTGAGACTTGCTTTAGACAATGAGATGTCAGTGGAAGTGACATGTATCATTTCAGTGGAAGTATGAGAATAAGGTAGAAGCAATATTTGAAAAGACAACGACTGAACATTTTCCAAAACTAATGAAAGACACTAATCCACAGATTCCAGAGGCCTAAAAGTAAAAACAAAGAAAGAATAAATAAAGAGACCCGCATGTCAACATAATAGTGAAACTACAGAAAAACCAAAGATAAAGAAAAGCTCTTTAAAACAGACATATTGGGGCACCTGAGTGGCTCAGTGAGTTAGAGCCTCTACCTTCTGCTCGGGTCATGATCCCAGAGTCCTGGGATCGAGCCCCACATCAGGCTCTCTGCTCGGCAGGGAGCCTGCTTCTCCTCTCTCTCTGCCTGCCTCTCTTCCTGCTTGTGATCTCTGTCAAATAAATAAGCAAAATCTTAAAATAAAATAAAATAAAATAAAATAAAATAAAATAAAATAAAACAGACATATGAAAAGAAACAGATTACCTTCAAAAGAAGTTAGGTAATGATGGAATTCTGAATTCTCAACCACAGCGGGAGCTGGAAGAAACTGAACTCTGCTTCAGTGGGAAGAAAGGAAAAAGCACAAGTATCCTCCATTAAGTCATCCTTCAAGAATGAAGATGAGATAAACACATTTTCAGATAAAACTGAAAGGGTTCATCGTGAAAACGTTCTAAAAAGTAAATTTCTAAATGAAAACATAGTGATCCCATGTGGCAGGTCTTAAAACACATGTAGCAGAGAGGAGTCAACATGAGGACAGTTGTCCACAAACTTGGACCATGTCAAATGATAACTGTAGTGTTGTCTTAGGATCTTCTTAAAAATTAGGCTTAAGGGGCATCTGAGCAGTTCAGTGGGTTAAGTGTCTGCCTTCAGTTCAAGTCATGATCCCAGGGTCCTGGGATAGAGCCCCACATCAAGCCCCATATTGGGCTCCCTGCCTAGTGGGGGGCCTGCTCTCCCTCTCCCTCTGCCCCCCCCCCAGCTTGTGCTCTCTCTCACTTGCTCTCTCTCAAGTAAATAAGTAAAATCTTTAAGAAAAATAAAAATAAACAAAATTAGGCTTAAAATAATAACATAATAAGTTAAGAGGGAAGTAAATGTAGAAAAAATCCTGTATTATTTGGAAAAAGGATGAAACTATTATGAACTTGAAACCTTGGTAAGTTATTTATGAATGTCTTAATTTGTAATCACAAAATGATTAGAGAATGTAGAAGTTACAAAATCATGGGGGAAATGGGATTTTTTTTAAATCTATTTAAAATCAGGGTGGAAAAGAGAAAAAATAAAACCAAAGCATTGATTAGGAAGCACAAAATAATATAGTAGATTCAACCCCAAATACATAGGGAATTATATTAAAAATGTAAGTTTAGAAACAGTTAAATGACAACAGACATGCCACAATTTTGAATGGCAGCTTTTCCCAAAGCCACCCTGCCCCTTGAAAGCAACGGACAAGTAGCCTTTTGCTGATGACTCAAGCTGCCCATTGTGACCTTTCATGACTGCTCCTTGACATCACACAGCATAGCTCTCAGACTCAAGGGCAGCAGGCTTGTACCTTCTTTACCTTCCTGTGGGGCAGCTGTGGTTTTCTGGCTCTTGCTTTATAAGGTTCTTCTGTCTCACCTGCCATTTGTAACCCGGTCTCTGTGAAGCTGCCCCCGACAGTTCCTGTCCTTTTCCTAACCTACCACTCGTGGTCCCAGAGCACAGGAAGCATGAGTTGTTAAGAACGTGGCTGACAGAGCTCTAAGGGCCAATTCTGGGCAGAGGACAGCTCCATCCTCCTTACCAAAGTGTTTTTCCACAAAGGGCATTTCATTTTTACTCTGGGAAGTGAGCTCAACTGCTTTAAGAACAATTTCTCATGGAACCCGAAGCCTTAGAAATCTGCCCTTACAACCCTCACCACCGAGTCCCGCTCAGCAGATTTCAGTACCACCTGGCATCGTGCAGGAGGAAGAACCCCAAGAAAGCCAAAAAGATGGCCAGCTGCAAATACAATGCCTGCCACGTGGTCCCCATCAAGAAGCTGGAGGAACACGAGGCGGCCTGCGTCAACAGAAGCACAGTGGAGGAGGAGGACGGCTTGCACCCCCTGAAAGCTAGCCTTCCAAGTTCAGAGCAGAATGGAAATGCTCTTCCAGGGCCCCCCTGGCTCCCCAGTTCTGATGTCTGGAATGTCGATGGCACTAACTGCCATCCCATGTTTGTCCTTAAGACTTTTGTTCCCCAAAAGCTTGTCTGTGAAAGCGATACAAGAGAGTCAGAGAGAGAAGCCCACACCCCGTCCCTGACCACCCCCCAGAAGACCCTCAGACCAGGAGAGTAAACCACCAGCAGCAGAAAGGAGCCGCTCGCCTCTTACGTGGCTAAGAGAAGATGCAACTCACCCAAATAAAAGCATGCAAACTGAACCACCTGGGCTACCTTTTTATTTTTTTTTCCATGTAGCAATTGGTAGAGGTTTAAAGGCTGGCAGGACATTCTGCTGGCAAAGACGGGGCAAATAGGCACTTTCGTAACACCACGAGAATGTAAGCTGGTAAACCTCTGTGGGGGGCAGTTTGGCATTAGCTGTAAAAATCACCAGTACGCTCTGCTTCCATGAACTATGCCACTTCTAGGAATTCATCCTGTGAATATGGTCACACTTGCGGAAAATGAGGTAAGTACAAGGTTACCCACTGCCATGTTGTTTTAGCAGTAAGGGTCAGAGTCAGAAATGGTCTAAATATCCCTTAGGGGAGGGCCCGATTAAATGAATGATGGTCCAGCCATACAAAGACGTAGTATGCTGTCATGAGAAAGGGTAAGGAGGCTCTTTCTGGACTAGCTTGGGAGGGCTAAAACACAGTGTTTAACTCAGACACCAGCAAACTTCTTCTCTAAAAGGCCAGAGAGTAAACATTTTAGGCTTCACAAGCCAAATGTTCTCTGTCACAACTCCATCTCTGCTTTGGTGGCATGGAAGCAGCCATAGACAGTATGCAGACACATGAACGTAGCTTCCAATAGAACTATGTATAGAAACTGGTAACAGGCCTGAAGTGGCCTATGAGGAGCAAAGTTTGCCACCCCCTGGTTTAAATGAGAAAAGCCAAGTCTGGAATACTCTGTATATTATGCTACAATTTTGGCAGAATTGTGAGAGAGAACGTGTATACGTATGTGTTTATATTTCTATAAAATTTCTCTCAGGGACACACTAGAACAGGTGTCTGCCCACAAAGCCTACAATGTCTCCTATCTGATCCCTTACAGAAAAAGTTGGCTGGTCTCTTCCCTAACAACTTCTCATCTCTCCCCAGGGATGAGAACTAGGAGAGAGAGAATTTACTATAGACTCTTTAGTATCTGGTATTTATTTTATCCACAGGAGACAAAAAAAGAAAAATGTTTAATTCTGTGGTTTATGTTACACCTCACTGTGTCTCATGAACATTGAAAACCCTGCCTGCTTTTGCTTTGGAACCCTCCCCTCAGAAAACCACACACCAACACAATGCTATCTGGAATTCTAAGAGGATTCACAGACCAAATTCATCTGTCATCATTTCATATGTAAGAAACTCAAGACTAAAAATGGAAGGTCCCAAAATGGTAGTGGTATTAACTGTTGAGGAAGATTAAGATGAAATGGTGATGCCTCAGAAGGCTGGCGAGTTCGTGATGGTTGGCACTCATGACTCTTCCCTCCCTCATGACCCTCAACAAAGGCATACCTCAACCGCACTTTAGCCAACAGTCTGTGTAACAGTTGGGTTCTCAGAGGAGAAAACACTGGAATAGGTTAGATCTTCTTGCTCATATTGTGTCAGACAATTTTGATCATCTGCCACAGAGTGGGGCCTGCAGTCCTTCAGTGCCTTTTACATGTGAATATATATTCTGGCCAAAAAATTAAAATACACTTTCTTAAACAGCAAGAGACTAACTCTTTTGAAAGTTTTTCAGGATGAAATTTTAACTAAGTTATTTTTAAGTAATCATAACTTTGCCACTTCTGGGCCCTTCAATTCTTTCTACAAAGTGCATAATAAAGATTTCTTCTTGCAAAAAAAAAAGAGAAGAAGAAGTTCTAGGCGTTGGCTTTAGAAACACCATGATTAATAAAATACATGAACTAGAAAACTGTCATATAGGAAGCAGGTGAAATAAAGTGATCTGTAGGACACACATCTGTAAACTACAGACCACCAGGACCAGGAAAAAGAAAAAAGTAACTTGGTTTGGGGCACGAATGAAACAAATTGGTCATGAGTCAATTGTTGTTGAAGCTAAGTGATAAATTTTACTATTGTTTCCATTTTTATATAACTCTGAAATCTTCTATACTAAAAGGTCTTTTAGGGGTGCCTGGGTGGCTCAGTGGATTAGGCCTCTGACTTCGGCTTAGGTCATGGTCTCAGGGTCTTGGGATCGAGCCCTGCATCAAGTTCTCTGCTCAGCGGGGGCCTGCCTCTCTCTCTCTCTGCCTGACTCTCTGCCTACTTGTGATCTCTCTCTGTCTGTCAAATAAATAAATAAAATCTTTAAAAATAAATAAATAAAAAATAAAAGGTCTTTTAAAATACATGTATATTTATTAAATGCAATGTGGGATCCCAGATTGGATCCTGGAACAGAAAAAGACCTGAGTGGAAGAACTGGTGAATCCAAATAAAGTCCATAGTTTAGTTACTGGTATTTTACCAATATAAACTTCTTCTGTTGAACGCACAATGTTTTTGTAAGATGTTAACATTAGGGAAAGCCAGGTGGAAAGTATATGGGAACTCTTTGTCCTATCTTTGCAAGTTTTCTGTAAACCTAAAATGATTTCAAAACAAAAAATTTAAACATACACAGATTTAAACAAATTTTATACGAACAAATTAAACACACACAATATTTAAACAAAATAGCCAGGACTGAGGCCCAGCTCCACCTCTTCCTAATGCTGGATCTCCAGCACAACCCAACCTTTGTGCGATTCTGTTTCCTCATCCACAAGGTAGGGATGACAAATTCCCAGGACTATGTGGAGGATTAAGGGATTTAACACATGATAAAATCAGGACAACTGTCTATCACACAGGAAGCTGTCAACTAATGCTACCTACTAGTAGCAGAAATGGAGGTGGTATTAATGAAAAGAAAATGTAATGAGGTGAGAGAACAATGATAAGTGAATATTTAAAATATGTACACAGGGGCGCCTGGGTGGCTCAGTGGGTTAAGCCCTTGCCTTCAGCTCAGTTCATGGTCTCAGGGTCCTGGGATCGAGCCCCGCATTGGGTTCTCTGCTCGGCAGGGAACCTGCTTCCCCCTCTCTGCCTGCCTCTGTCTACTTGTGATCTCTGTCAAATAAATAAAATCTTTTAAAAAAATAAAAATATGTACACAAAATTAATCATCTGAGAAAATCATCAATTTTTCATTTAAATTTATAAAACAAAACAACGAAAATCGGCCAGGAAATGGCATCATCAGAAGAACAGAAACAGTGACAAGTATGCATACTGAAAAGTTTTAAATAGCCTCTAGAATCAGAGAAATATTTTTTATGTAATTCAAACCAGGCAAAAGGAGAAAACAGACCAGATTACAGATAACTATAAATTCAATTAAGAAAAAAAGGGGGAAAACACAAAATAAAATGGTAGAAATCAATCCAAATATGTCAATAGTCATATAAATGAAAGCACACTTAGCCCACCTATTAAAAAACATTCATGGGCGCCTGGGTGGCTCAGTGGGTTAAGCCGCTGCCTTCGGCTCAGGTCATGATCTCAGGGTCCTGGGATCGAGTCCCGCATCGGGCTCTCTGCTCAACAGGGAGCCTGCTTCCCTTCCTCTCTCTCTGCCTGCCTCTCTGCCTACTTGTGATCTCTGTCTGTCAAATAAATAAATAAAATCTTTAAAAAAAAAAAAAAAAAAAAAAAAAAACATTCATTTACCTCTCTAAACCAAACTCATGTCTATTCTGAGCAGTATCAACCAATAACTTCAAGCCAAAGATAAACACATGAAATATGTGCCACTGCCACCACCTCCCATGCTTATAACAGACATAACTAATCAATCACAGCACTTTCCTAAGCCTGGATAATACCTTCTGAATCTTTCCCAACACAATGCTCCAGGATGCCATTATGCAGAGATAGAAGTAAGCTCTATCTTGACAGAGCCCTCTGTAGGTAAGTTTTCCACTTGGCCCACTGACCCACATGGCCTGACCTGAGGTGTTTCAGGAAAAATAAGGAATAAAAGAGCTTAAGAAAAACTCCTGTCTGAACATCAGGGAAGAAAGACCAGGCAAGAAAGCCATGTCTGTTATAAATTCCTGGGCTGGATCTCAACAGCTGTTCCCTCTCCTCAGTCCTCATTCCTTGCCCCTCCTGGGCCAGTCTCCAGAGAACATCGGCTACAAGCCACACGCTACGGAGAGCGTCATAGAAACATTTGTTAGCAGTGACGGTGATCACAGTAAGCTAGTGCTGGGCTGGGCACCAGTGGCTGAATCACAAAGGAGAGCCCGTGGCCAGGGAAAAGGGCCCACCAGCCCTGGGCACCAGGCAAGCTTTCCAGGTTCACATTGAGGACTCCTGGCAAAGAAGGAGTCTAGTAGAAGAGCTTGTGTCCTAGGGCAGGGGGCTCTGGCATGGCAGAGGAAGGAGGAAAGAAAGGGGAGCTACACTGGGACCAGGTCCCTTGCAGATATTGTTTTATTAAGATCTGTAACAGGGATGCCTGGGTGGCTCAGTCATTAAGTGTCTGCCTTCAGCTCAGGTCATGATCCCAAGACCCTGGGATCGAGCTCCGTGTCAGGCTCCAAGAAGCCCTTTTCTCCCTCCCTGTCTGTCCCCCCACCCCCTGCTCCTGCTCTCTCTCAGATAAATAAAATTTTTTAAAGATCTGTGACCCAAAAAAGAACAATAAAAGATCTGTGACAACAGAAAGTGGCAACTATTTTTATTTCCAATATACAAACAAGAAAAGTGAGTCTCAGAGAAGCTACATAACATGCTTTGGTTCACAAAGCAAGTGATGTAATGAATTTGAACCCATCCCCAGAAATTCCATACTGAATATGTATAAACCAGAAATGTGTATATGAGCTCACCAAAAGATTAGGACAAGCTGTTTACAACAGCTCTATTTACAATAGCCAATCCAGAAACTTGCCCTATGTCCTTCAGGAGAATGGGTAAATTCTGCAAAAATCCTATCATGGAATTCTATATACTCGTGAGGTTAAAAAACTGTAACTACCCAAATCAACATGGGTAAATCTTACATACTATTAAAGTCCATTTACACAATGTTTTTTTGTTTCTTGTTTAAAAAAAAAAAAAAAGGCAAAACAGGTGCCTGGC